CCCCCCCGTAAAGATTGATTGAGCTTGGATTGTTGGACGGACACTCTTCTAAGTCTATTCCCCCCCCCCATCTAAGTCCGCACGAGTGAGAGATGATCGGAAGGAAGGAGGATAGAGGTCAATTGGAATGAAACCAAGAGAAAGAATGTGGGCAAATGGATGGTCGGCCGAGGGAATTATAGGAAGGGGGTATTTAGGAATGGGGAGGTAAAATAGGAAGACCTTGATGAGGGGGCTGAAATAATTTTCATCTAGGGCAAAGGTTGACCTGACCAAAAGGACCGGTTGATGCTCTTTTTATGAAAACAGGGGTCGGGTGCTAAAAACAAGATGGCGCGATGGTTGCCTTCCCCGATGTACACTAGCGGTCCGGAAATGCTAGTAAATGTAAAGGAAGGAGTATCGGTCGTCCTCCCAGAAAATGGAACGTGGACGGACCTTGAACCGGCATATCAAACGGTAATGTTGGAAGGAGAGGATGCTTTTCTTTGGATAGAAACAGTATGGACTAATGTCAGCTTGACGAGGTTGTCGCCAAGTTTAATGGATTTGGAATTCCGAGGGACAGTGGAAGCCCGTGGGTGGGTCTACTTGTCGCAAGATGGGGAGAAAGCTATGATCATAGACTTGGCACTCGGGAATACGCCGGACGAGTTGTTTAGGAAGGCGGAAGCAGAGGTTGTGTGGGCTGCATGTCAACGGAGGGAAATGGAAATGGAAAAGTTAGACGTACGGGTGGAACTTGGGGATAGAGGAAGCATGAGGCGACCCGTAAGAACCATGCGATGTGTGCTGCCCTCCTTCCCAGTGGATGTGGTTTTCGGAACCCGGAGCAGGCTAGTACGGATATGCCAGTCCATGACGAACCTTGGACTATACCAATGTGCTAGGCAAGATTTTTTTCGGTTATCAGTAGAGATGGGGCCGTTCGAGAGGAACTGGGCGGAGGAGCTGGCCGAGATACTAAACTGCCTTAGCATAGACAATATCTTTGTCCCTAGCGCTGTGCATTGGGGGATAGTCTACCGGAATGTAGCAATAGGGGAGACATTTCTAGAGGGGGTAAGGGAGTTGGTATACGACGAGGAGGACGACTTCAGTGATGAAGACGAAGATGAAGAGATAGAGGACTGAGACTTCTGAGAGGGGTGGGGTAACTTGACTTAGGAAGGACGGGTGGCCTGGTATTGTGCAGGAAAGGGAAAGATGACTAGAGAAGAAAGGATGATGGAATACCCCTTCAAAGGCTGGGAACCACGGCGACTCAGAGGAGGAATAGAAATGCCTATACCAACAGGAAACGGATGGAGAGGGACCACGTGCGACTGGATTGGGTTTGAGGTTGCCCGGGACTTGTCATATGTATGGATAGAGCGGATTTGGAACCCGATAAGGGAGGAGGAAGGTTGGGATGATATAGCAGAAGGCAAGGTAGAGTCAGTCGGAACGATTGTCCTTTCCGAGGATGGATGGCACCTGTTTTGCACTATGTTAGCAATGGGACAAGACCCGATGTGGCTTCTAGGGGATGCAGAGGCCCGAACCTGAAAAGAAGGCATGTGGTTCGCCAACGAGGGGTGGGACGAAGTCAGTAGCAGAGTTGTGATGGGAGGATGGAAGGAACTTAAGCCTACGAATAACGGCTTGGGTACCCGAGTTCATAGCCGAGTGGTTTGGAGGGTTTGAACATATTCTGGAAGTAGCCGACTCCTTGAGAAAGGTGCATATAGAATGTGCCTGGCTGACTGAGGAGTTCTATAGGCTCTCATTGAAATATGGACCCTTCTACGGAGATAAAGCCGAGGAAGTCATCATCGTCCTAAGAATAGGCAGGTATGACCGCCTAGAGGTAGAGGCGGAGTCTTGGGACGCCATAGTTAGCCGGGAGGCGGCGGCTGCACGCTCCTACATAGACGATGTTTTTAAACTATCTAAGGTGCGTGGTTCGTCTGAATGGAGGGTGTACATTGTGAAAAGGCCTGAGTATGGAGGGTGTTTGTGAATTGAGGTGTAACATAAGAAAGGGAGTGTGTTCATTAGGCCGTAGATGGTGCAACTGGAAAATGGGGGGGGGGGGTAGAATTGAACGTGTATGAGTTGGGGATAGCGGCAAGAACCAGTTTACGATAAGTAGGGAGGGTTGAAAGACTAAAACACGAAAGGCATGGAATCTCGGTGGGTGCAGCAATCGGACTAAGATAGCAGGAAATGAGACATTGCGAGATGGCCCGGCGAATGACGTTTTGGGAGGATAGACCTCGTGGGATCCTGCCACCAAGAATATCAGAAGGCAGGGTCGAAATAAGTCTGCCAGCAAGAAATACGGTAGGCAATCCGATAATGGACTGGGTGGGGGTAGAGTTGGTGGAAGATACGGTGTACCTAGTAGTGGAGCTGGAATGGCGTGCGAGAGGGGAGTTCGGGGGTGTAGACTTGAACCTCCCAGGGCGTGTACATGCGACGGGATCCTTACACCTGTCGGAAGAAGGATGGCGGACCTTTGGGATTGCTTTGGCTTCCGGGGATGACCCCGTGCGAATGTTCGAAGGGGCATGGGAAATAACCTGGCGGGAGGGGTTTGAGTTTGCAGACCCGGAACGAGATGACGTAACGGCAGAGGCAAAAGTCGCCGCGGCGGGGGTTTTCGAGCTACCAAATGAGGTCATACGGATGAGTCTACCACCCTTCCTGCTAAGACGAATTGGAGGCATAGAACGAGTGGAGCAGGCGGTGACTGCCGTAACTAGGCTAAATTCTGACGAAGCATTAATGTATCGAGAATACTATCGGGCCTTCCTAGAGATGGGGCCTTTCGGGGATGAACAAGGGCGCGAGGTGCTTTGCATTCTACGAGCAGCGGTAAATGCTAGGCCAGGAGTCCCACAAATAAGTGATGAGACGATGTGGAGAGTCATCCGGCGAGAGGTAGGTTGGGGCGCGACCTACATAGATTATCTCTACCGGCTGTACGAACAGCAAGAGGAGGCTACTGCTCCCGGGGGTATAGAGGGATAGTTGGGACTAGAAAAGAGAAATGAAAAAGCGAAGGGCAAGGGAGACAGTAGGTGGGCGGATTTTGAAGATTGGTTGTAACCCTTTCTATGTGGACTATGCAGGAAATCACCAAGGTAACAATGGCAACAAGACGTGAGCGAATGGAACGCCAGCCCCGTGTGCGAATGGAACGCCAACCCCGGTACCCCGGACCGCCCTGGAACAACGGTGGACGATGGGAAGTATCCCTCCCGTCGAGTTCTCCCTATCGGGGGTTCGACACAGAATGGGGGGCCGTGACTTTGGGAAGGGACGCCACCTTCATGTTAGTAGAATGTCGATGGACAGGGATGAGACTCAACCGAGGACCCGGAGACGATCTGTTCTCCAATCTGGAGGTTACCGGGACCATGTATCTGCCTGAGATCGGCTGGCACTCGTTGGGGGTAGAGATAGCACAAGGTCATGAGCTGGCACCGGTCTTTCAAAGGGCCGGTCGGACGTCGACCCGGATAGGACATTCGGTCATGGGAAGAAGGAACGTGGGCTTACTTACCCAGGTGGAAATGGGAGTTTGGAGGGAGTTCAGGGCACCGACCACACCGCTGAGATGCCGAGTGCCCCGTTTTATGATAGACCTTGTCTTCGGAAGCCTCGCAAGGGCGCGGGAGCTGGCAGACTCAGCGATAGTCTGGGCAGGCCACTTTCCCTCCCCTACCATGGGGATGTTCTACGATGTCGCTGGGAAGCACGGGCTGTTCTGGGGAAACAGGGCTCACGAATTACTAGAAGTCATCCACATTCTGATGTTTTGTGCGCCCCGACTATACTGGACAGGGTGCGAACGCATAATCCAAAGGGAAATCGAGATAGGGGAGAATTACCTAACGGGGGTGGCTCAACTATTCGAGGAGCCTACCGAACCAGAAGAGCCGCGAGGGCGAGAGTGGGATTAGCATCCCCAGGCGGGTCAATAGGGCAGATCGAGTATAGTTCGCTGCGTAAGGAAGATCGCCGATGGGAATAAGAAAGGGGCCTCGGACCTGGATGGCTAAAAACCACTAGAAAAACAAAGAAGGGGGGGGCAGACTCCTAATGATTGACCATAACCCTGAAGGTAAAAAACGAGAAACGCTGCTCGGGAAGACTTCCTCTAGCAGGATGCCTAACCCGGACTCCCTCACATCGGCCGACGGGACAAGGGCGCTACCAACGAGCTTGTGATAAAGGAAGCCCAGTCACGTTCATAGCTCGGCTGGGCGGCAGGGCCAGTCGTGGCTCCTCCTTAAGGAAGGGCAATTAGGAAACGGGGATAGGAAAGGAGGCTATAAAGGTAAGCCAACAGAGCTGGGAGCCTAGGGAACCTAAATACCTCGCATTGCGTGTGTCCTGGGAATTCTTTGGCTTATGCAGAACTAGGCAAAATGGCAACGGAGGAGGAGACAGATAACCGTAAAAATGAAGGAGAACCAGGCTTAGAAGGCAGTGCCGCACAAAGCGAAGAGGGGAAGAAGGACAAAGAATCGATAAATCCGGATGGTACCAAAGGGAATCGGAAGGAAATCTCCACAGGAGAAAGCTCGGGGAAAGTCGAGGGAAGCAGGCAAGGGACTCAGGGGACCAAGGAAGGCAGAAATAAGGATAGGACAAACCCCCGAAACTCGAAAGGAGCCATGCCTAAGAAAGTAAGGGTCACGGATACGAGGCGCAAACGAGCCGAGATAGACAAGAGGACCGCGGAATACAGGGCAAGATTGATTGAGGAAATGATGACTGGGAACGAAAAAGGTCCTCTGCAGGAGGAACCCCGGGACGAACGGAAAGCCAGCCAAGGTGGGACTGGACAAGGGGATAAAGGTAGTGACCGTGGGGGAACGCTGAGCAAGAGAAGGAAAAAGAGAGAGAACTCTCCGAGGATGGAAGCAGAAAAGGCTACGACTCCGCCAGCCATGGATAGTAGGGCTAGCCGCCTGCCGATCACGCCAGCAGTAGCGCGAGGATGCGAAGGACTTTGGAGCCTTAGGGAAAGAGTGTTGGGATGGTTTGACCCGGAAGGAACTATGAAAACCAGGGAGGGACAGAAGGCCGACAAGGAAAGTCCGGATAACAGTGTGGCAGGCAAGGCCAGAAGCTCCGAGGGCTGCCTTAAGAAGATAGTGTCGTCCCTCGCGCGAGCACTAAACAAAAATCAAGGCTATCTGGCAGACGCCAAGAAAAAGCTGACTTTCGATGGAGCAAACATCACGGAGTTCCTGATCGACTACGAGAACCTAGCTGCGTTACTAAARTGGACCGAGGAGGAAAAGWTGGACCAYCTAGGACARCATGTGTCGTTAAGCCTAGGACGGGACATAATGRYCATTGTAGCCGCAAGCCGGTYTTGGAAGGAGACCCGGGATGTGATGATGAGGAAGTACCTAGCGGCAGAGAAAATGGCAACGGAGGCCGACCTAGCGGCAGTTCAGAGGAAGAACTTCGCAACGTACAATGATTTCCTACGGGAATTTACTCTAGTAGCACTAAGGATCCCCGGGGTCACGGACCGGATAATGAGCAAATATTTCCTCAGGCAGTTCTCCGAGTTCGACAAAGACAAGATCCTGTCAGCTTACCAACAGACGAGCAAGTTCGTAAACACGCGGGATGTTGATTTTAGCACGGTAACGGATCTGGCTGAGAAAACGGTAGTAACAGAGACGTTGGCCTTGCTCAAGGAAGGAGAGATCATAGATCGGACCGGTAGAACAGGCGACAAGGTAAAGAAGGGGATTGAAAGTCTACATGAACAGGTGCACGGGGTCGACAATAAGATTGAAAGGATGGAAGGCGCGCTACTGGTTATGCAGGCGCAAGTATCCCGACCTGCCCTCCCTCCCCAGGAAGCTGTGGTTCCGCCAGGTGTAGCCAACCAGGGATTCGGACAGAGAGATCCTGCTAACGAGCAATGCAAGTACTGTACCGCGATAGGACATTATGTGCGCGCGTGCCCAAAGCTCAACCATGATATTCTGAAAAGAAGGTGTACCAGGTCATTAAAAGGGGAGATATTTGGACCACAAGGGGAACGGGTGAACTGGAACTCGCCAGGACGGATGCGGCGAGCCATTATCATGCTCAACGGGTTAGAAATAACAGCCGTAGAAGCCGAACCGGTGGGCGAGATCATTTGGGATCAGCTCCAGGGGCGCGGGCCGCAGGCCAACTTTATTTTGGAAAGCGACCGACGTGATAGGGTGAACGCAACCACTCGACTGGGAACGGCCGGGAGAAGGATTAACCATGACACCATTATGGAGGAGGTCGCCGGAAGCTCCGAACCCCAGCCGGAGCCTGAGGCCGAGGAACCAGAGAAAGTCGATGGGAAGCCTAGGGAAGAGGAGCCTGCGGACAAGGTTACCGCCGCTAAGAAGTTTAGGTATCAAATCCCGATCTTAACCTTGCCTGAGCTCGACGACACCATTAGCAAGTTACTAGGAACCATGGTGTCGGTGTCTTTTCAGACCATGTTGCAAGCTAGCCCTAGGTTGCTCAAAGGGCTCAGACAACTATTGACTCGGAGGCGAGTAGAAATAGGCGACAACCCCGAAATACCAGAAGGGGAGAGGGAGGAGGAAGCTCCGCAAGAAGTGGCTAACCTTCAGAGAAGTCACGGGGACTTGGAGGATCTCGAAAAGGCCTTTGCAGACATTCGTTTGAGCTTGCCCGACCGAGAGGGCAGCGAAGTCATGAGATCGCCACTCGGGACGAAGCTTAGCTTTCATGTGCTGTCCGTAGGGAAACTGAAAATTCAGATCGGGAGTCATCATACCGACGCATTAGTAGACGGGGGAGCAGAAATCACTCTCATAAGGAGAAATTTCGCAACGATCGCGGGATGTAAGGTAAACAAGGAAGTAAAAGGGAGCATCCGAGGAGCTGGCGGGAAATCCCGTTCGCTGGGTACGTCACGAAGTGTGCTGTAAAGGCAGGGGTCAGGGAATCGATCTGGTCATTTCAGCGGATGACCGTAATGGAGGAGATGGATCACGACATAATCCTCGGGAGACTGTTGTGCGCGAACGTGGAGATGATAGGCATGCACTTGCATGATGGCTCATACATGGTAGACATAGAGGACCCTGTGACCGGCCGGGGAGAGCTCCTCCGACTCCTTGGAACGGGAGGAGACCCCCCGAGGGGAAAATTGGCAACATGGTCGCCGCCGTTCGAGGATAGCACGCGAAAAGGGGCTTTCGCACGGATGGAGGGTATGAGAGAAAGGGTAGAAAGCATGATTGAGGAAACATTCAACAAGAAGGAGTGGATCAAGATGGGCCTGCCCCAGAAGAAGAGGAGGCAGGAGGACGAAGTCCTAGGTGTTATGGTAGCAGAAGGAGTCAGAGGTCGAACTTGGCGCTAGCCTGCCCAAACAGAAAGAAGTACGCATAAACGTGTCGGAAATCGCACTCGAGATCCCCGATCTATTGCAACTCATCAAGGCCCTCAGATACCACAAGGTAGGAGTGGATTCGACAACCTTGGCCAAGTTCGAAAGAGAGGTGCAAAAGGGATATTGCCTGAATGGGAAAGTAGTTAGTATTCAACCACGAGTCGTAGAGGCGACGGGGGCAATTCCGACTGTTCATTTTTTAGGAGATCCCGGAAGGAAGTGTTCGAAAGTACAAGCCGGTAGGGAAGAAAGCAAGACCGGTCTCGATCCTGCTAGAGACATCAAAGGAAGAGGCTATGGAGAAGGAGGAAGAGGTCCTTCGAGTGATCCGAGAAAGAAGGGCGACGGAGGGACATCGGATACCAGATGAGGTAGCTGACACAATGAAGATAGGGATAGACGGGTTCTTAACGGAAGAGGAAACCCGCCTGATCAAAAGGACATG